ACGCCACCAGGGCTCCTCCTGTTTAACTGAGAGATGTAGAATTCTGAAACCATGGTGATGATAGTTTATACTTACAAGAGTAGTATATTTCAACAATTGGGTTAGAAGCAGTATGAATCAAATGAAATTTTATGTGATCAATTTATAAGTTAAAAGTGTTTTCAAAATACACTTGTCTGTGTGGTTAAGTATAAGTCTAGTGAAAGTATCAGCTGACTAGTTTTTGTTGTTAGTTTGCTTTTTAAGATTAGGCCATGAAATCGTTTATATTACATCGTGCTAGACCTACTGCCATCAGTTGCTTATTGTTCCGGGCCCAGCCGTGCGGTCAGAACTGTCAGGTGAGTACACCTCTCCATGTCTTAACTTGGAATCTGGGGAACCGAGTCACTGACCATGGCAGGGTCAGTTTTGCTATAAGAAGAAACAGCGGACCTATCAAAAGGATTTCTTTCTTTGAACTGAGGGATAAGAAAGAACAGGAAGAAGTTAGGCAGCAAGAGCAGGTAGCTGCCTGGATGACATTCAAGTGCAAGCTCAAGTCTTGTGACTTGGCATCTCTGCTAATAGCTTAGTTTATGGGCTTCTCAAGTCTTCTTCCTTTTCCATTTTAGAAGAGGTGTGTTAGGAATTTAATTCTGTCCTCCCAAATATATGACTTAAACCTTGAGATGGGGGGCTGCTATGTTAATTAGATCTTACCCCAGTAAAGTGGGTTACAACTTGGGGTCACCAGTTCTCAACCACCAGCTGCTTGGCGGGACAAAAATGAGGCTTTCTCCTCCCCCTAAAGAGTTATAGTTTTGGAAATTCATTGAGGCACTTCTACCCTGTTTTATAGGACTGCCATGAGTCAGAATCAACTCAATGACAGTGAATTTTGTGTGTTTGGGGGTTTTGTTTTTATTTTTTAATAGAGTAGGTCCTCAATCTAATCACATCTGAGTTATAAAAAGAGTAGAAGGTGTGGACACACACACACACACGGAGCAGCTACAAATCAAGGAACCAAAGAGCACCCAGGACAACTGACAAGGAAGGAGTCAGCACTGCCAACTTGATTTGAACCCTTAGCCTCCAGAACAGTGAGAACACACAGCACAGTTGGAGTTAGAGGTGTAGGAGACATATCTGACCTCGGCCAGCTACACAACAGTGGAGAATCCAGCCCACACCAACTCAAGGCCAAAAGCCACAAGGAAGGGGTGAGGCATGCCTCTACCCTCTCTCCTTTCTTTATTCTGACACCTACCAGTCCTCCCCCAGCACTCTACTTCTCTGCTGAGTTTGATCATTTTTGCAATGGTGACACAGAACTCACAGAAAACACTCAAGACTATGGGGGTTTATTAGGGAAGTTACCAGGTTCCCACATATTAGGATACAGTTTTTGGTCCACAGCAATGCTTCTCAGCCAGCAGCCAATTCTCTCTCTGGCCACTCAGTCACTTGATCCCACCAGGAAACCTGCTTGATGTACTGCTCTTCTGCCCTGTGTCATGGTTCCCTTGCCTCAGCTACTGGTCTCTGAGTGGCAAGGCCTCTGCCACCTCCCTCACTTCAAGCAGGGATTTCAAATGCGCTCTGCTAGGGCCTCATCTTCCTAAAGGGTTCTGAGCATTCTCTCTGTTCTTGCTTCTGAGATGGCTGTCTTACACAGAGGATAATGACAACTCAATGGATGACTCTCCTTATTAGTGTAACACACACTCTATTGACATGGTCCCACCCAATCATTTAGTAGGAGCGACAGAAACATGGAAGTGTCTCGTGGCTTGTTGTTAGGTCCTGATGAGTCAGTTCCAACTCATAGAGACCCTATCTACAGCAGAGTCCTGCGCCACCCTCACAGTTGTTCTTAAGTTTGAGTCCATTAATGCAGCCACTGTGCTAACCCGTCTGGTTGAAGGTCTTCCTCCTCTTTTGCTGCCCCTCTCCTTTACTATGCATGGTGTTCTTCTTCTCCGGGGACTGGTCTCTCCTGACAACATGGCTAAGTACAGGAGGGGAAGTCTTACCATCCTTGCTTCTAAGGAGCATTCTGGCTATACTTCTTCTTCTTTTTTAAAATAATTTTATTGGGGGATTGTATAACTCTTAGAACAATCCATACATACATCCATTTTGTCAAGCACATTTGTACATGTGTTACATCATCATTCTCAAAACATTTGCTTTCTACTTGAGCTTCGTATCAGCTCAATTTTCCCCTCCCTCCCCGTCCCTCCTCCCTCATGAACCCTTGATAATTTATAAATTATTATTATTTTGTCATGTCTTACACTGTCTGACATTTCCTTTCACCCACTTTTCTGTTGTCTGTCCCCCAGGGAGGAGAATATATGTAGATCCTTGTGATCAATTCTTTCTACCCCGCCTTCCCTCCACCCTCCCAGTATCACCACTCTCACCACTGGTCCTGAGGGTTCATCTATCCTGGATTCTGTGTTTCTGACTCTTATCTGTACCAGTGTATATCCTCTGGTCTCTGGCTGTACTTCTTCCAAGACAGATTTGTTTGTTCTTTTGGCAGTCCATGGTATTTTCAGTATTCTTTATCAGCACCATGATTCAAATGCATTGATTCTTTGGTTTTCTTTATTCAATGTCCAACTTTCACATGCATATGAGGCAATGGAAAATACCCTGGCTTAGGTCAGACACACATTAGTCCTCAAAGTCACATCCTTGCTTTTCAATACTCTCAAAAGGCCTTATGCAGCAGATTTACCTAATATAACATATCTTTTTATCTCTTGCCTGCTGTTTCCATAAGCATTGACTGTGGATCCAAACAAGACACAAATCCTGACAACTTGAACCTTCTCTCCATTTACCATAATGTTACCTATTGGTGCACTTCTGGGGGTTTTGGTCTTCTTGCCATTGAATTGTAATTCCTAATGAAAGCCGCAATCCTTAACCTTCATCAGCAAGTGCTTCAAGACCTCCTCACTTTCAGCAAACAAGGTTGTGTCATCTGCACATCACAGGTTGTTAACAAGCCTTCCTCCAATCCTGATGCCACATTCTTCTTCCTATAAGCCAGCTTCTCAGAGAAATTACTTAGCACACAGATTGCATAAGTATGGTGAAAGGATACAATCTCGTCACACACCTTTTCTGATTTTAAACCATCCAAGCACAAGTCCTGCATGAGCACAATCGCGTGTTCTGGATCCCATTCTTCCCATTATCCAGTTAGTCATGATCCATGCGGTCAAATGTCTTGGCATAGTCAATAAAGCACAAGTGAACATCTTTCTGGTGTTCTCTGCTTCCAGCCATTATCCAGCCAATATCTTCAATGATATCCCATGTTCCATGACACAAATACAAGAGCCCTAATAAGAAATTTCACTTCACCACACTGTTCTATTTGTGTTACAAGAGCACTAGAGTCCAAGACTGGGAGCTTATTAGAGCCACTAGTGGTTCTGCCAGCAGAGAGAGAATATCCACTCTCCAGAACAAACAGCTTTTAAGGAGGCTTTGCTATGCTTCCTGCCCAGGCCTTAACACACGTAGCCAAATCCCTTGCCGCCTTCAGATCTCCAACAAGTAGGATCCTTATCTTTTCATCCGTGTTAACACGCACTCCAGAGTAAGACTATTCTAAACAAGACTGAGGTAAGAATGGGAAAGGGTCATTGACTATAAGCCCAAAGGAAGACTGGAGTTGGTTTGGATACACAGCTGAAGGCTGCTGGATAGCCCCACAGCCACCAGGATGGCAAATGGCTGAAATCCACAGAGAATCATCTTAGGTCCCATGAACTCGTGCTTGCAAGGATTACTCAAATAGCCAACAAAACACTCTAACCAAGGATAGTTCCTGGTATCCAAGGTATCCATGGCAATGGGCATCCAGTGACCTCCCCACTGCATAAAACACAAGCTCTGCGTAGAAACAGAGGCTAGAGTGAACTGCCGTTCTTCCAGACTGTACCCACCTACTTCCATCTTACAGTGCAGTGCACCTCCCACACCTGGTAACCACGGATGGTAAGCAGACACGCTTTCAGAAATGTGAGTACATGCAGAGGGGGGAAAAAGAAAATACATCCACAACACCCCAAACCCATGGACTGCCCATTTGCATATACTGAACACCGTAGGGCATCCCCGAGCGCTTTCCATGGCTGATTTGCTCTGAGGTTAAGGAGCCCACTCAGAAGCACCCTGAAAGAAAAGTCTGGTGATCTACTTTTGAAAACCCAGCCACTGAGAACCTCATGACGCACACAAGCTCCTCTCTGGCACCCATGGGGCTATTGTGAGTCAGGGTGGGCTGACCACACAGAACTTGCTGTTTTATTCCTGTCTTGCCTAAAGCTTCCCACTAGTTTTTGCTAGGCTGACATTTAACAAAAGGACTACGGATTTGCTCCTCCTTCCAGCCCCACACGCCAGCCCAACGCCAGGCCAACAACGATAAGGTCATTGAGATGCCTCGGACTTGCTTTCCGTGGGCTGCTATCCCAAGGCCCTGGCACGGTGGATGCTTCCCTGAGACAGTCTTGGTTACCCAGGGGCTCTACGGCACTTCACCTGTGGCGCTGAGTTTCAGAGGGCGCCCTTTGAGAACCCGAGAAGGAACCGGGGAAGAAGGCAAGTCGGAGACTTACATGGCGCAGTTTTCATTGGGTACTGTCAGCACTGTGGCCTTCGCTGATTGTCCGGGATTTGGAACAACTGGTGAAAAGTCCAGACGGTACAAAACAGTGAATGGGTTTGAAGGCCGGGCCTTGTCACCCACGGTGGCAGGAGGATAAAACCTCTCCTCACTGGCAGTAACGGTCACCCTGCCTATTTCACCTGGCCCCTCGAAACGATCAAAAGCCAGCAGGGTGCTTAGCGCCTCAGCTGAGACAGTTCCAGGAGAGCCTGCCTTCCGGCCGGAAGTCCCACCCCACCCCCAATTCCCCCGCCCGGAAGTGGGCTTCGCAGGCTGCGCCCTGCTGCTTCCTGTTGTCCGTGTCGGCCCCACAGTCTGCGATATGGATTCCTCCAGCGTAGAATCTGAGCCCATCGGCCAAGAGGTTGACCCTGCAGGCCTCGACTTTGACGCTGTTGGGCAAGATTATTTCTCTATCAGGCAAAAGTTCGAATCTTCCTACCAAGAACTGGATCTGGGCTCCCTTAATGAAGCGCTCCTATCCTGCTCTACGCCGGACAGCATGCCAGAGGCCTTTGCCGGCACAGGCGAATCCCACGTGACTTCCGAACCAGAGGATCTGACGGAGGCCCAGCACAAGGCGCTCAAATCCAAGCTCATAGAATTGGAAGCAGAAATTGTAACCCTACGCCGCAACTTGCTCACAGCCAAAGTGAGCTACTGCAGGGAACTCAAGAGGAAGCTGGGTCTCACTGTCTTGGTGGGGCTGAGGCAGAATCTGTCCAAGAGCTGGCACGATGCCCAGGCCTCCCAATGCCTATGTCAAACAAAAGACGTCAGCTGCCCTGTCTACTGTGGACTCTGCCATCTGCACGAAGCTCGGAGACATGAAGAAATCGGCCACGTTCAGATCTTTTGAATGTCTGATGGGGACAATTAAGTCCAAAGCCCCCGATGGCAGAGAACCGGGCAGCCTTCCTTCCCCAGCAGGCAATAAGAATGATCTACGTCCAGTTCCGGAGTGGGAATGACCCACACCTACCTGGTGTAGACTCAACTCAGAATGAGCCCCTTGATAACCCTTCTTGGCCATCAACCCCACCCCCACCCCCCTGCAAGGGTCTCTTTTCTCCACAACAGTTCCGACTCTGTCCAACAAAACAAGAGAGCAAACCACAGTGGGACAACTCATCCAGGAAACAGACAAGAGTCCGGCTTTGAGAAAAGTAGTGCCCATGAGTGTGTACATGCCTCTTTCCTGCTGTTGAGTGAGATAGAAAACCACAGTTTTGTACTCGACTCTCTTGCATTAAACTTTGTAGATGAAATGCCTCACTAGGCTAGCTAGCCTTCCAGGGGTTGTGTATCAAATGGACAAGACAGTAACTCCTGAAGTGGTTATTCCGTCAAAGCCCAAGCTCTCTTGGGAAACTAAAAGACCGAAGCAGGTTTCTGTTGGGCCCTGGGGAGAGGTATGAGATCATATGTAGTTTATCGCCTCCCACGTTTTCCTCTGCCCTTGTGTCTCTGAGGGAACAGGCAATTGGAAAACTCCAACTGGCCTACAGTTCTGATTTTAGAAAGATGACCAAGGACCCCAGCCATTTTCGCCACATTCCCCTCAAAGGGACATATTTATGCCATAGATATGCCAATGATATGTGACATGTTGAAATATATATGTCAGTTACCTCAATGGGAAATTATATGTGTGTGTATGGTATGTGTGTGTCACATATGCCTATTTATAAATGTATATGTGTCGTGTACATGGCATGTGCATATCATATGACATACATATGTGTCATATACATATGACTAATGTTCTATATTTTATAAAGTTTTATTACTTTGGTGGGAATTACAATTTTTCATGACCTTGAGCTTTCATAGTCATTGTTTAGACATGAGAGTGAGAGTTTTGCAGATTAAGCCTTGTGGTATCATGCCTGTGCCATGGGAGCATGCCACCTCTAAGGAAGAAAATGACTTCCGTTCTTTCCTTCCCAGTTAGTTAGTTACCACTTCCCACTGAGAGGCTTGGAGGAGGCAGGAGGTGAGGAGACAGGCAAATTCAGGGAAGATAAACCATTCTCCTAAGCAGCATTTAAAAGAAAATGTACACGCACACGCATACACACCCTTAATGCTGGCTGTCATGCCTTTGAATAGACCTAACAATTGATTACACATTCCCGGTCAGTTTGACTCCACTCCTCCTGGTTTATAGCTAACCTTACCTGAGAAGGAAGCAGTGCCGGACTCTTCGAGGGGGTTGTAACCCGGTTTGTTCAAATTGTCTGATACCTGATTTTCACATGGAGGTTGTCATGATTCAACATCAACCACTACTGGCGTGGTTTGGGGCTTTATGATGGTTTTTGTTTGCTCTTTTTCCTTTTCCATTTTCAAAATGCCAAGACTAGTAGTGTCTTTCATTCCTCCAGTCACACTCTGTCCAGTAGACATTTGTAAGGTAGGGACTCTCAGCCAGATGAGGGCCTTTGTTTGCGTGGCTGCATATCTGTAACGCTCACTGTCTAGGTAACCAGCACCTTCTCCTTTCAAAAGAGGATCCTGTTTTGTGGACTCCTTCATACTTCTCCCCCACCCCACTCCACCCCCCACATTCCTTTGGTTTCCCTTCAAGCAAAACCAAATTCCATTATAAATGCAAAAGCACTTGGGAAGCTATAAAGCCACTGATGTATCCCAACCCTCACAGATTTCTGAAAACAAAGTTTTGCTCGGATTAAAACAAGATGTTCGGCTATTTTACATGTTATTGCTGTGTTTATCAACCAAAAGAGTTTTCTATGCTGGAGAACTAGAGTCCAGCCTGCAGCATGCAAAAAAGCAAAATAATATACTAGGCAAAGGCTCTGACCTTACATTGTTTTAGGGGAAATTTCAGACCAACATCATGAGTGAAACCCGAATATGTTCTCTCTTTATTTAATAATTCATATAAATACAAAACTAATTTCCCCCAATAAATCCCCAGTTCCACAAGAGCAGTAAAGAGCATGTCTGTTTCGATCGTTGTATGCCCATGCAGGCTTAGGTGGTTGTTAGGGGCCATCGAGTTGGTTCTGACTCACAGAGACACAATGTGCAACAGAACAAACCACTGCCCGGTCCCGCACCATCTTCACAACTCTTCTTATGTTTGAGCCCTTACTTGCAGCCTGTGTTAGTCTGGGTACTTTAGAGAAACAAATCTACAGAAATTCATGTATAAGAGAGAGTTTTATAGAAAGGTTAAGTGCACATCAAGAAAACATCCCAACCCAGTGCTGCCCAAGCCCACAAGTCCAACATTAACCTATGAGCCCATATGTCCAACACCAATCCTCAAAGTCCTCCTCCATCTCACAAAACAGATGCAATGATGCCAACTGCAGGAGGAAAGCCGAGTCAGTGAACGTGTAAGCATCTCAGCACTGGCAGGGGTCCTGCACCCAGGGCTGCTTCAGGGTAGGTCCATGTGGCTTCTCCTTGGGGATGTCTTCCAGGAAGTCAGCCTTGCAAGCAGAAGCAGGGAACTGCTAAGGCAGCTGCACCCTGGTGCGACCATCACAAAACGAGAGACCCGAGAACTAGAAAGGCGAGACTCACTGAGTCATTTATCCCTCTGCCCTTCAATTAACCCCACATGTGTTTATCGGCCAGGTTGGCACAATAAACTTCCTCACGGCCACTTTGTCAATCCATAGTGTCAAAGGTCTTCCTCTGTTTCGCTGCCCCTCTGCTTCACCAAGCACGGTGTCCTTTTCCAGAGACTGGTTTCTCCTGACAACATGCACAAAGCACATGAGACAAAGTCTCACTATACTCGCTTCTGAAAGGAGTAATCTGGCTGTAGCTCTTCGAGACAGATTTGTTTGTTCTTTTGGCAGTCCACGGTACTTTCAACATTCTGCACCAGCACCATAATTCAAAAGGAACAATTCTTCTTTGGTCTTTCTTATTCAATGTCCAACTTTCACATGCATATAAGGTGATTGCAAATACCATGGGTTGGGTAGATAGATGTTCAATACATACTTATTGAATCACTGAAGGAATCCATATCACAAACTTCAGACAATCAATCTTGGGTCTAAGAGGCAATCAGCCATATGAACTCATTGACAAATTTCTGCTTTTAAATAGCATTTTACTTCCCTATGCAAAATAGCCTGATGCCCTACTATGTGTCAGGCACTGTGCCAGGCCCTGAAGGCACAGACAATCATTAGACATGGCCTTTGATCTCTGCTACTCTGTCCTACTGGATTGTTGTGAGTTGGAATCTACTCCAGGCAAGTGAGTTTGAGGTGGTTTTCTTTCTTTTTTTGTTTTTCTTGCTCTCTAGAAACTCAGATTTTGAAATCATCACAATTCATTGCAATAGATGCTGAAATTGAGCCTGTTTGTCCGAGGCACAGGAAGCCCCGAGGAAATGCTGTTCAACTCTGCCCTGGTAAGTCCAAGAAGGCTTCAGGAGGCAGAAAGTATTAATAGGACAGACAAGACAAGAGCAAAGCATTCCAGACAATATCCAGAGGAACTGAGTCATGAAGGAATGTAACGAAATGGCATGTTCCAGGAAATACCAATAGGCCATTGTGGCTGGAAAGGGAGGGGAAGTGGTGAAAGATGAGGATAGAGAAATAAACAGGAGCAAGACCATAAAGAAGGAGTATTACATGCTGTCTCAGAAGTTACTATATAATCCTGAGTAGGAGATGCGAGGTGGGGGCAGGGGGAGCATTGAAGACACTGAAGTTAAAAAGTGAAGCTCAAACTCCAGCTTTATGTAGAGCACTCTGATCTCTGTAGAAGTGGACTGGGAAGGAGTTCAGTGGTAGAATCTCAAGACTTAGGACCCAATTATATAGGAGAGAAAGATGGGTAGATTTGAGAGATGATGTGGTAGGTACATGATCTGTTGTCAATTTGAGGCTTAAGAGTCATATGTATGGATTGTGATAAGAACTGTATGAGCCCCCAATAAAACGATTTTAAAAAGAAGAAGAAGAAAGAAATATACCCATTTAAAAAAAAAGTCAAGGGGTGGAGTTTAGCTTGTTGATCAAAAGGCAGCTTGATGACCTCATTTGGAGGCACTAATGAGATAATTAGCTTGTTGGAGGCAGGACACACGCTCTCTCCCTGCCAGACATTTCTGATGAGAAGCCACATGAAGCTACCCTGATGCAGCGAGAGTCCTGGGAGCTGGAGGAGCCACGTGGAGATCTCTGCCAGGGCTGAGATGCTTAGAATGCCACTGGATCCACAAGATTTCTCACCCACTGGCCTGTGGTATTCTGGCATTTGGCATCATTGCATGTGCTTTGTGAGTCAGAAGAGGACTTTATAGATTGGTATCTGATATATAGGTGAATATTGGACTTACGGACTGGGCTGGGATGTTTTCTCAATATTCAATTGCTCTTGTAATATAAAGCTCTTTCCTATACACATACGAGTGTCTATGAATTTGTTTCTCTAGTCCACCCGACTAACACAGATGATAAAATCAGTCACTGTGGAGTCAAGTCTAGCCAACTGATGGCTACCTCATGTGTCTCGGATTAGAATTGTGCTCCCTAAGGGTTTTTGGAAGGGAGTCAGTCTTTCTTCTGAAGTACCTCTGGGTGGACTCTGACCCTTCAGTTAGCAGCTGAGTTCATTAGCCATTTGTACCTGCCAGGTACTATATGATACCACCTCTACTCACTTGGACCAAAAGGCAACATCATGATAAATGGAGAAAAGATTGAGTAGTCAAGGATTTTGCCTTGCTTGGATCCCCAATCAATGCTCATGGAAGCAACAGTCAGAGATAAAATGATGCATTGCATTGGAGAAATCTGCTGCACAAAACCTCTTTAGAGTGTTGAAAAGCTAGGATGTTACTTTGAGGACTAAGGTTTGCCTGGCCTAAGCCATGGTATTTTCCATTGCCTCATATTCATGTGAAAATTGGACATTTAATAAGGAAGACCAAAGAATAATCGATGCATTTGAATGATGGTGCTGCTGA